AATTGACCCTGCCCCAGGGGGTCATAGATTTTCCCATTATGCATATAGTAAAAACTTAAATAATCTTCTTTTAAAGAACCCAAAGAGCTAGAGCTAAGATATTTAGCATGAAACATCTTCTAATGAGTGTCTACCAAGTTTGTTCAAATAAAAGCTCTGGGGTCAGAATTGGCCCCGCCCCAGGGGGTCATTGATTTTCCCTATATGCATATAGTAAAAACTTAAAAAATCTTCTTTTAAAGAACTCAAAGAGCTAGAGCTAAGATATTTAGCATGAAACATGTTCTAATTGGTGTGTACCAAGTATGTTCAAATAAAAGCCCTGGGGTTAAAACTGGCCCCGCCCGGGGGGTCATTGATTTTCCTTATATGTGTATAGCAAAAACTTAAAAATCTTCTTTGGAAAAACCCAAATAGCTAGAGTTAAGATATTAAGCATGAAACATCTTTAAGTAAATATCTACAAAGTTTGTTAAAATAAATGCCTGGGGGTCAAAACTGGCTCTGCCCCAGGGTTGACATTGTTTTTAACTATATGTGTATAGTAAAAACTTAAAAAATCTTCTTTTAAAAAAGCCAATGAGCTAGAACTTAGATGTTTAGCATGAAACATCTTCTTATGGGTGTCTACCAAGTCCGTTCAAATAAACAAATAAAAGCCCTTGGGTAAAAATTTGCCCGGGGGTGGGGGGCCTATATACAGGTGAGCGACCTCAGGGCCATCATGGCTTTCTTGTTCAAAATTAGTTTTTGTCCAGAGCATAACTCAAAAAGCCTTTGAGATATCAAAATGAAACTTCATAGGTGCATAGATCTAACTCAGGAGTCAAATATCTCAATTATTGCTTGAAATATTCAATTGAAATTTAAAATACTTTTTTATAGTAACAATGTACATCAGTTTGCAAAATTGCATAACTCTGCCTGCAATATTTGCAGAATTATTCGCCCATTTGAAACTTGGAAATTTTTTGGTTAAAGATTAAAGGTCTTCAAAGATATTTACTTGAAACTTTACACATGCACTTAGGGTCATAATTGGAGGGTCATAATTGTATGTCACTGACCAAGTTCCATAACTCTATCTTGCATTAAGGCTGATTCATATCCCCTTTTCTACTTAGTCTCTTGGTTAATGTTTACATGCAAGTTTTACATATCTCAATAACTATTAAAGATATTTATTAAAAACTTCACATATGCATTTAGGGTCATAATTGTAGGTCACTGACAAAGATCCATAATTCTATCTTGCATTTAGGCTGATTTTTCTCCCCTTTTTCAACTTAAAATTTATGGTTAAGTTTTTCTTGTAAGTTGTTATCTCAATACCTACTGAAGGGTTTGTGCCTTTTTCGGGACAATTTTATGCATTCATAATGATAAAGCAGTGATTTACATGATAAAACATCTTAATAACAAGCCTTTGTACCTTTTCTGTCAAATAAATTTATTCATAGGTAATTAGTATTATTATACTCAATAAAACACCCTTGTGACATTACCTTCCGAATAGTCAAGCCAATACTGTATAATTAGACTCTCTCTTAGGCCTATAACATGAATTTATAAAAAAAATTAGCCCTTTTGTGAACTTAGAAAATTAAACAATATAAATGCTCTTTTACTATCAAGCACTTAGAATAGTCGAGCGTGCTGTCCTACAGACAGCTCTTGTTCTGTATGTCCGTCCGTTTGTCGGACTACTAAAAAAGCTACTAGTGTTTAATCCAAACATTACAGGAATGATCAGTACCAAATTTTATTGTGCGTATCGTCGGCAATTTCCAGATCAATGATTTTGTCAGAGTTATGACCCTTTACTGATTTTTATTTTTAAGGTTTGACCAGATCACTTCTCTTAAAACTATTAATGCAATTTAAATGAAACTTTACAGGATACTAATGCACATATTTAACGGGTTTTTCGGTTAAATGATTTTTGGCATGTTAGTGATTTTGTGTTGTTTGCTACATAGTAGCTGTAACATACTAAGTATAGAACTTTACGACATATATAGGTCACTCGACAGCCAGTCGGTGTCCAATTGTCAACAGCATATTGTCGAAATCATATATTTATACCGTATGTTATTATAAAAATATGCAAAGATAAATAATTACTAAAAGACTGCCAATATTTTATGCTAGTTGGATTACATTTATTTTATATACAGTGCTGTTTATTACGGACAAAATATAACCTTTCACAATAACCAGATACCCAGTAAACAGAATGACGGCGAAAATGGTAAAGATAACGCACCCCGATTCTCCAGTTCCTTGTCCCAGTCGCAGATTATAATCAGTACACTTTCAATGAGCATTTGAAAACTGTATTGATATATAACAGTACAGTTTTTTCATTGACTCATATAGGAAAAAAACTCGACTGCTATATATCAGTTGAGTTTTTTTTTTTCGCATTTTGTATATATCAATGAAGTTTTTTCACAGAGGCTCCAATGGTGCAGTGGTAACGAACATTCCCAGTCGCAAAACAGCAAAAAATGGAATCGTTAAAATAAAATAAAATAAATAAACACAATGAAAACATAAACAAAGATAATTTATGAAATTTTATTTTCTTTTAGATTAAAAAATAAATAAAATGTCTTAAAAAATAAATAGAATTGACTGTTATTATGTATGGAGAGCGTTCGTTGCCAAAATTCGAGACCTTTTAAAAATTACTTTTGAAAATGCGAACTTAATTGTATGCCTGTCATTTTTATTGCACCCGTGCATAGCACATAATATGCGTCTTAACAAAATATTTTAATTGAAGGTTCCCGCCTTTATATAACAACTTACCTAACATGGAAAACAACAACAAATTTACAAGTACAAGTATATTCCATTGCTTACAATGCATATGCAAGTTTGCACACTTATACATGTATATATCTACATAGATATCTATCTATACCTGAGATATACTGAAATACTGAATTGCAAAACTCGAACACTCAAAATAGAGTTTAAGAAAAAGTGTTTCCAGTTGTAGAACTACAAGAGTACGTTTACACAGTGACATGTTGAAAATAACAAAAGTAGATTCACAAAGTTAATCGACTTTAAGTCATACATGACGCCCCGCCCCTCTTTGAGTATTTACGAACTTTTGCGGACAGGTATAAAACCCGGCGTCTCATAAAACTGAAGGAAAACACGCCGCATTCTTCCTGACATATTTTTGTTGCATTTGCTACAAACGTTTTTTTCTAGCTACACTCACTTGAAAAATGCTGATTTTACCATTTATTTAATACTAAATGATTAAGATAACTAATTATTTAACCTCGTGTTTTCCTGAGAAACATTGGCGATTTGGAAATTCTTAGGGGGAAAATGACCAACTTCAAGGCAGCAATTTTATTCATAATTTAAAAACCATTCAATATTTGTATTGGTATCATTGAAAAAAAATGTATTGGCACACATTTCATTTTAAACAAAAACTATGCTAGTATTTGAAAAAAATAGGATTTTAAAGCAACCACAGAGTTTTCCTTTCGGAATCAAGAAAGTACTTATCCGCAGCACATATGTGCAATCTTTAATAAGGTATTTTCAGTATAAATAAATACTTTTTAATATATTTGAAGCTTATAGTCTTAATTTTCGTTCTATATTCATTTTCTATTTTGAAAATTGATTAATTTATAAAGTATCTAAAGGGAGTGGCGTGATTTTCTTTGTGGTTTTAAGAGAGAGAGCGCGAGAAAAAACAACGGTAAGTTTGAAACAAAATATTTTTATACTTCTATGTAATTATTTTTTTTTTATTTTTATGGCATCACTAGAAAGGTCATGAAGGATTCTTTCATTTGACGCCAACATTATTAAAATTGATCAATAAATAAAAAAGTAAAATGGTCGCCGTGTTTTTCTTACAGAGTGTGGTTTTCAGAAACTTTAAAACGAAAATTTTAATACTTCTCCTGAATTCATTTTTATTTTTAGGCATTATATAATTATAGACAGCACAGTTTTATTTCAATCCAAAACTATTAAAATTGATTACGAAATCAAAAAGAAAAGTTTGGATGGGACGCCGTGTTTTTCTTTTGTGATTTTCAGAGGAAAAATGATAAATTTTGAAACAAAAATTCCAATACTTTTATTCATATATAATACATTATAATTCATTTTTATTTCTGAAGCATTCATAGAAAGCTTATGGAGTAATCTTTCATTTGATACCAAAATTATTTTATTTTTTATAAAAAAAAATTAAAAAAAGTTAGAAAGGACATCGCGTTTTCCTTTACTTTACTGAGAAATAGGAGATAGGCGCCGGGTTTTATACCTGTATATATATCTATCTACCGTACATTTCCGCCATTGTTCTAAGTTTCAAAATACTCAAAGAGGGGCATGACTCAAAATCGTTTTAAAACTTTGTAAATCTACTTTTGTTTTTGTAAACATGTTAACTACTGTGTTAAACGTACTGATGCAGTTCTACAACTGGAAACACGTTTTCTTAAACTCTTTTTTTCTGTATTTCATTTATTCATCTCAGATACGGTTAGATATATATATATATATATATATATATAGCATGATAAGTGTGCAATTGCAATGGAAGATACGAACTTGTAAATTTATTGCTGTTTTTCATGTTAAGTCACTTATTAAGATCTACATGTAAACTTGTTATTTAAAAGCGGGTGCCTTCAATTAAAAGATTGGATTAAGAGGCATATTATTTGCTGTGCACGAATACAATAAAAAATGCTAGACATGCACGTTTGCATTTCAAAATGATCACTTTATATGTCTGGAATTTTGGCAACGAACGCCCTCCATAACTATGATGCTTGTTGATAATTCACGCTTTGATTTTACCTTTATTTCGAACTAAATTCACAATCGAATTTACACGAATATTAGCGTCTTGAGCACAACTTTGAGTGCTGTGATTTAGTGTCTAGTTACCTTTGCTGTTCTAACCGTGTGACTAACGCACCGTCTATTTATTAATTTGCATAGAGCAGCATTTCAAAACGAGGTTGAATATTGGATTGGTCTATTTTTATGACGTCATAAATGTCAAAGGGCAAACCCCATTTTGATGTTTTGAACCGAGGTTTGTTGGAATATCCATAAATATCTTCGTCATCTTGGAATATATATCTGTAAGTAATTCAATATCAACATTATAAATGAAATGTATTATATTAAGCACGATATTTATGGTGTACATATATTATTGTACATATATGTTGAATGTTTACAGTTTAAGCTGTCGAAAGGGAATCCCTCAGTTGTCAACAAAGTTAATTTTGAATAATAAAACCAATTTTTTCTGTTGATTTCCTGGTAACTGCTACAAAGATGAAAGTAAAAGATTTTCTTATAATTATGCTTTCAATTGCTGTCCTTTAGAATGTTCTACGTGATCTCAGACGCCTTAATCGGCAATAATTTGAATAAAAACACACGGAATACACAGTGTGTAGACGCTGTGTTTATGCCGTGTGTCACTAGGAAAACCGATCTTGAAATATTGTTCAGAATTCTGTAATTGAATGATTAAAATTTCGTCGTTTGTGGCCCTAAGATTCCTCATTTAAGCAACAATCATTTTTCACAGTCAAATTTATTTACTAGTTCTTCATTTTTTCGAGTAACTTGCTAGAATTTTTCAGAAATTTAGCGGGAACCAGTGCGACATACTTGCATAAAATGGACGATTCTATTGCGTATGTGATAGGGGTGTGGCTTACAATACACACGCGCATGATTTTTGTTTGACAACTCGCGGCTAATTGTTGTATAGTTTACAGCACTTGTTAATTTTGGAAAACACTCAAAACATGTTTTTGAAAACCAATCAATGTTTAACCAAACGTTAAGTTCCATGTTTCAGAATCATTTCTCGAGTTATTTGACGTGTATTTGAAATATCACCCCTGCATTATATGTGCTACATTCGGTAAGAACGAAAGTTGAAACAGCCATTTGTGCACAATGTTTCAAATTATTTTTCTATTCAAAAGCTTTATATTTCAGATATTATTGTTACTGTGTAAACATTTAAATACTTAATATCTCGCATATAATTGCGTTAAGCACATCACAGACCACATCACAGACGCATTAAAGTTGGAGGTAATTACTTATTTTTATATGTTGTTGGCATCCCATTCCCAGTAGCCTGAGTAGGAAAATCTAGTTTACATAGAATTTAATTTGATGTTGTTTTCTGTCTAAAAATCTAACAAGACTTTGACATAATTAAAAGAATTGCAATGTGTTGATGGACAGAACACTAATTTTATAATTTGTGTTACAGAACATTAAACAATTGCTTTCCACCAAAATATTCAGCAATATTCCCCATATGTTTTTTCCCTCCTGAAAGCCAAAATTTTCCCCCATGCAGAAGCCCAAATTTGCCTGCAATGAATATCATTTTTGGCAACTAACTCCCCAAAAAAATGTTTTATTTTATGCTTGTAAGACTTACTGTTTAGTAAGGTTGTGTACAAATCATTCCCAGGTAGGAACTTGTAAGGGCTGGCATCCCAACAAGTTTAACATGCGACATTTAAATTCTGCTGTCGATATTTTAGATCCATATATTAAACAAAAAGGACTTATTTTAAACTTGTGTTGCAAGAACAGCTCCCATTTTCTACCGAAAAGAAAATAATGTCACATATGCACCGGATTCGTTTTCGTTTCTCCTCAATTGTGAAGGAATAAAATTCCCCCTCCTATTGCATTTTTCCCCCTCCAAAGGGCACGACCCCCTTCCCCCAAAAGAGAAAAAATACACTGGCATTGATAGCAAGTTTTTGCATAGTTCTGCATAACTATATGTCGCTTTTATTTTGACGTTGTGCGACAGTAAAGTTATGGGTCAACCCTATTTGCAAAGGCTACCAGAAATTTGGCAGTCCGTGTGCATTACATAAAACCCTATAAAAATCACTCTTATAAATCAAATTTGGGTCAAATAAAAATTTCTATGTGATAACCAAATCGTTTTTAATCAATTCATGTTTTTTTCTTAAATGAAACTTCAATGACATCGTGTACAGGGAAATATGTAGAGATTGTTTATCAATATGGATTCTGCTTTCAAATGAAATCTCGCGGGACTTCCAAGATTTGAAAATTTTAGCATAGATCTATTTTGAGTAATGGACCATACACTATTTTTAATACTGTATGATTTTAAATAATCCTGAATCATCACTCAAAACAATATGAATCTAACATGTTTTTGGTACAATGTCTGTTATTGAATAAATACATCGTTATTCATAATTGCAAAGCCATGTTTACAATTAAAAATAGCATTTGGGTCACAGGTCATGCAAATGTCATCCAAACCAAAATTCTTTCAATGATGATTAGGGCAGCAATGGCGACGATTTATATGAAATGTTAACTTTAGGCATTATTTGAATATTTCATCAATCTAACCTTCTTTCTTCAAAAATATAGACTGAAGTGTACAAAATATATCTAACTACCGAAGTTAAAATAGGTTTTGTCCAGATAACGCAAATTTATTGAATAACAGCATGACATAAATATGTCATAGTTCTGGTTGACTTTCGATACAGGATTGGCTTCAGGGAACAGGTGTAGCACTAGCAGTATTATAAAACCTGTTCTCTGAAGTCTCTTTAGCTAGTTTTTGCACAGACACTTGGGGTGTGGAGCTCAAAACACCTTTAAAATCCAAATAAAATGTATATTTGTCTATCCCAGCACATGTGCTGATTATATATAAAAATAAAACAACTTAATATAGGCCGTTTTGAAATAAAAATCATATTTCAAAGTCTATAATAATACACAAGATAAATATGTTTGCCTGAAGAAATTCGCACACCTTCCGTCAAAATCACCATTAATTTTATTTCATTTCCAATATTTTCACATAATCCTTTTGTCCATCGACGCAGAAGATGTTATTCTTCACAATGATGCAGTGATAGAAATTAGGATTTGAATCCACTAGGCTGGTCGGACTACCAGATTTGAAAATTCACAATACCAAAAGACATTTCACTAGCACGATTCATTTGTTCAAAACAGTTGTTTATAGTGCCTCTGAAAATACAGTAGCCTGGTCGGGCTTGTTACTGTAAAAAGTTGGTAGCCCGAGGAGAAATTTAGTAGTCATGGGCTATCAGATTACTGCTAATTTCGAACACTGAAGATGGTCAATTTTAAACTTCAACATCAATATAAACAACGCTACAGGCGAAAAAACATCAAGATTATCAATAATCACTGTTTCACTCCATTTACAAAATATTTCAACAAATTCAAAATTGGCTCCAGAGCTTTGCCGTATTCAAATGCGTTGGGCTTTGAATATGGTAACCATTATATTACCCAATGGCTCCGACTATAGCCAGACTGGTCCTCATCTCAGGGTTTTTTTGCAGGATTTTGGGAACATGACCCATACTGGTCGGAGACCATCAACCGGACACTTTTTTAACATTTTTCCGTACAGATTTCATAATTTTTAACCTAGAGACCTAAAAAATTTACACAGTTCAGCTAGGTTCTTTTCCTAACTAAGAAACCAGTTTGTTTATTTCTGATTGCATTGACACTTATATCTGAGGCTCGACAAGGAGGGTATAAGCATTACCTAAATTGTCTACATTACAGTACCATGTGTCCGGACAGATATGTACATGATGTGATTTAATTCAGATAAAAGCTTGGATGTTTTAATTTTTTATATTTAACATGTTATACAATATTTCAGCAACAAATGCTGAAGTTTTGGATATTCTATTGTTTACTCTGCAAATGATTATAGCTGGTATATGAGATCAGACATTGCTTTCTTGACCCCCAAATTTCTATGTCAACATTCTTGAAATAGACATTAAAATATTACCATTTACAGAGGTTGAAATAAATTTATTTACTTAATTTTAGAAGAAACATGCATGCATTGTTGATAAAAAAGTGACTGACAACCACTGAACAAAGAAAATACTAAAGTAAGCATTTTTGGGGTTGGTCCGGGTTTGGTGGTTGTCCGGTTTTGGTGGCCCCCAACCAGTACCCATGAATTGGGAATTTTAGCAATGTTTTGTTAAAAATTGGAAAAAATTGCATGACTTAAATTTTGCAGTAATTAATTTACAAATTAAATGAATGCAAAGAATAACTGTCTAGGAAGGCATCTTCAAACTTTTAAACACCATAACAGTGAAGAAGCCCTTATTTTCCAAGATTTTAGAATTTGTTATTCAATATTTTTATTTTGTAACTTTCAATTGGGAATTTTTTCCTGTGGATTGGGAAAATAATACACTATTTTCAATTGGGAATATGACCGAATATCGGCTATAAAATAAGGCAAAAAAATCCCTGCATCTTTAAACCTGTTTCAAACGAAGTTACATATCAGATCTTTTTGCTGACAGGAAACTTTTAAGAAGTAATTTTGATTGAATTATCCCCCTTTAAATTTTAAAAGATAATGAATGGCTTTTATTGTACTGACTTATCTGTCAGCTCTTGATCAGCAGTTACTTTCTAAACCAATTCATTAATATTCCATTTTACCATATTTATTTGTCCATTACCTGCATTTAATATTTTTTCACATTTATATTTTTTAGGTTTTAAATTTTCTTGGGTCATGATGTAATAGAATGCAGCGTCCACATATAGAAGAAACAGTCAGGAGAGTAGCACAAGGGGAGGGAACTCCTACATTTCCAGTTGGAGCAGCAGGGCGTTTGATTGGGGCTCCAGTTAGTGCTGCACAAAGGTTTGAGGGCGCTGAAACCATGTCAGGGGGAATTCAGTTTCCACTTCAAAACTTTCCGTAAGTAACTGAACAAGCAATTTCCACGGTACTTGTATTTTGCTGACCATAATATAACAACACATGTAGCTCTTTGCCCATAGAAAGGGACAAAATGTTGTTAGTCACATTGTTTACATGAATGTCTTTTGCTAAAAGCTGCATACATACAGATGTGTAAACAATTACCATAAAGTCAAACTTGCTAAAATGTATTGGGAAATGATTAAAAAAATATTCACAACCAAATATTGATCGATGGTTCAACTGGACAAGAATGTACTGAACAAAAACAAAGAAAATAAGATAAGTTAGCTAAACTAAGATATATTCCTAAACAGTAGTTGCAATCAGGTAAACAATTTATGGCTATCATAAATATGCACTCTGACTTTTTATACGCCTGTTTGAAAAAACAGGTTGTATTATAGTTTCCCTCCTGGCGGCATCCAAATTTTGTCTTGAGCATATCTCCTACACCCATTGAGGAATTTTGATTAAACATCATAGAAATGTTCACCACTATGAGGAGCTGTGTTGGGCACATGAACAAGATCTCTAGGTCAAAGGTCAAGGTCACACTTAGAGGTCATTGAAAAAACCTTGTCCAGAGCAAAACTTCTACATGCATAGAAGGATTTCAATATAATTTGGCACAAATGTTCATTATTGTGAGGTTTATTGCGCACATAATCAAGGCCCCTTGCTACCTAAATCAAGTTCACATAGAGAGGCCAAAGTTTTTGTAAGGGGATCATTTAGTCATCATTTATTGATGGATTGTAACACAAATGATAACTATCACGACTACAAGTGTGATATACAGTCCGACCCCGGTTATTCGACAACCCTTTATTCGAATACCCGGCATTATCCGAAGTAGATCAGCGGTCCCGTTTTTATCTCTATATAAATCAATATAAATACGAGCGTATTATTCGAAATGCATTATCCGAATACCTCCTATTTTTTGAAGTAATATTTCGTTCCCGATTATACAATTATGAAAGAATTTCACACCTATTATTCGAAGCCAGCTTAGCCAGACAAATTGGCGCAGATCCACTCGCTGACCGGCCGACTTGTGAAAAACATCAACAGTCATGCGTGTATTTAGACAATCATGATAATAACTCTTTGTGTTCTTTAATCAACTTAAATTACCAAAAATGAAAAGTAATGCACCGTGTCCGATTTTGTTACCGTTATTGCTTGAAGATGACAGCAATAATTTTCATACATAACGTTTATGTAAATTTGTCAAAACATCCAAAACATTTTTATATTAATTGTAACGCTACACGAGAGCCTTTTTCCTAATCGAAAATACCAGTATAGCTGTAAATACCGTAGTGACAACACGGCCATTATCAAGGCTTTGCGCGAAACGATACATAATGTAGAATAAAATGCAAGTATTTATGTCTTCAATGTCAATTCAATAATTTGTATGTATCTTTTCTTTAATATTTATTTTTCTCAATTGATTACAGGAAGTAAGTGTGTTGTAAACGGTAGTTCTGCTACGATTGGTCAAAGTGGAGTAGTTTTCGTCTATCACAATATTCGGATTTCGATTATTCGAACCCATCGATTATTCGAAGTAAATATTCAGTCCCAGGCACTTCGAATAAACGGGGTTGGACTGTATGTTATTAATGTAAATATTTGCAAGGTAAAGATCACTGCAGATGATAGAATATCCAGATATTGGCCAGAGCATATCTCCTATATGCATATCTATAATACATCTATGTCAAAAGCTTTTGTGATGGGCATATTTTGCTACAATGTTGCCCTTGTTGAAAATTATCAAAACATTAAAATTTTCTTTTGTTTAATATTTAAAGTCCTAAAATCAGCACAGTTTATTCTTCATGAAATGAGTGTGAGATTGCATTTCATTTTAGTTGATGTAATATTTTATATTTTTTGTTTTAGTGGAGGTCAACCAGGTCATCAGCATGCTTCACCCATACAGTTGCCATCAGCTATCACTGGGGGACCACCTGGAGGTCCTGGGGCTCACCTTTCTGCTGGGCATCCTCCACCATCTCAGGTAATATACTCCGTAATTGCTGTCATGTATCAGTTTAAATTCAGTAATCATTATGTAATTGACTGATGTATGAACTTATTAATTTAATAAATAAACTCCACTAAGGTCAGAAAGCCTAAAAACATAAAATATGGAATTCTTAAATAGTTAAAGTGAAATGCTTAAAATGGGAAATTGGCAAAGGATAATGATGGAAAACATTCACAGAAATAAATGGAATATTGTTTTATTTTGTGTGATTCTTAGCCCAATTTCTGTGAAAAGCTTTGTAACGCTGTTTCCTTTTGGTTATTTTGCACAATTAAAATTTTATTCTGGATAAACAGGGTAAGGAAATGATCTGAAAATTTGCACACAAGTTTTTGGTCTAAATTATCAGGAAAATATTTCCAGTCCCGTCATGTCAAAAAGCCTTTGACATCGGATTCCCTTTAAGCAAGATGACTGTGGAGTCCCTTTAAGCAAGACTGTATCACAATTTTAATATATTAGTGTTAAAACTTGATTTATTTTACCTTTAGGTTCATGCAGCACAAGTTCAAGGTCAGCAGCAGCAGTTTCAGAGGTTAAAGGTTGAAGATGCGTTGTCTTACCTGGATCAAGTGAAGCTTCAGTTTGGAAATCAGCCCCAGGTGTATAATGATTTTCTAGATATCATGAAGGAGTTCAAATCTCAGACGTAAGTTTCTTATTTCAGTCTGGAGAAAAGCATCCAGCCCTTGAATGTTACAATAACTTGATAATCTTAAATATTACTTTACTAACGTTTGAAATCATATATTTTTGTAACAGGACAATTTAAGTTTAAAAAATGAATTAGAAAAACAAAAATATCAAATGTTTCTTTGTAGGGCTGGGGCGAGTATCCGAGTACTCGGATAATCACGAATCAAAGTGAAAAATCGAGTTTGAATATTCGTAAGCCCAGAGGTCGTGGATCGCGATCTAATTTTTTTTATATACATTCACTGTTTCTCACACTCATAAAATCGAGAAAAATACGATTTGAGTATAAATTATATGAAGTTTACCTAAATACAATTTGCCGGTTAAAGACCATGAACCATAATGCTGAGCTAGGAAGTTATTGGTTTAAAAAAAATACTCATCCAAAGAATAAAAAAAACATGAACCTAGTTTATATTTTATATGTTTAATGGTAAGTATTGTTATTTTTTTTAAAATAAACATGTTTTTATAACTAATGTACATGTTTTTATGGGTGTCTTGATAACAAAAGATTTGTGGTTCGATTTGTGAATCGTAAGTGCTGAATCATGGTTCGGATCGGATCGTCACTTATCCGACGATCCACACCCCTATTTCTTTGTTTCAAAAATGTTACTAGTGAAGGTTCCTGAATACCATTTAAATACAATACATGTTATAGACTGTTATCATGGTGTTATGCAATTGCATGCTTGTTTTATTCATCAGAAATCATACTAAATGAAAGTATGTTTTCTTGTTATTATTTCTTAATGGACATTAAATTTAATGTTGAAGTTAGCCAAGTGATAGAGAGAAGTGACTTTCATCTTGTCACAAAATAGAAAAAAAATATGTTCACAAGATGGGTAGAAATGGTATCTTTATTCTAAATTGTGAATGAAAGTAAGAATTGACAGTTGACTATCAAAGATAGTGATGTGGCATTATACAATGACAGCCCAAGGTGTTCTTTATGGGTGTCTGTAATAATATAGGAGGGTACATTATTCCACCATATGACATATGCTCAGTGCAGTATAAAAGCCCAATTTACGAAAATGTGAATGTCTGATTGTCATGTAATTTTTTTGAGAATCCAGCAATACTAATTATATGTAGAAAGGCCAATATTGATTTGCTACCTTGTTCTTTAAACATACTTTAACAGTGTTTGCTTTAATCCTACAGTATCGATACACCAGGCGTGATCAATAGGGTCTCCAACTTGTTCAAAGGTCATCCAGAGCTAATTGTTGGGTTTAACACGTTTCTGCCACCAGGCTATAAGATAGAAGTCCAGGCAAATGAGATTAACGTCCATCAACCGGGTCAACAAACTGTGTCAATCTCTACCTTGAATCAGATGGCACAAGCTGCAGCTAACTCACAACAACATAATGTAAGTAATATCACTATGTGGAATGTTAATACTGAAACCATATTTCCCCTCTTTAAATTTTTTCAGTGCCTATATAATGGCATTGTAATGTTTCTTATGACTGATGTTTAAAGTTGAGTATAGATAAGGTACTGTATGTAATTGTCTTGTTTGAGGTTGTAGGGTCAAGGGCATAGATACATGTAGAAGGAATCTGTTTTCCTTCTGAATTTGGCAGTGATTTTCATTTTCTGATAAAGGTTGCTTTATTTTCAAGACATCAGATTTGTTGTGAGTTGGATTTTTTTTTTCAGATACTAGGCATAACACAATTGCCTTTAAGGTGAAATTTACAAGTACAAAAATATTTACACTGAAACTGTCAGTATTAACAAGGTTTCCTTCATTGAATGTGGAAAATAGAGTTTCATTGCTGGTAAACATAATATGAGATGTAATCATCAAAGGTTCTTCTTTTATGTGTTGGGATATTCAATTTTCTATTTCTAAATTGACACTTGACTGGAGACTTAAAAACATATGACCCAAACCTTCCTGAGATTTTTTGTTACCTCTGCATAAATACTGTCATTACAGGCATGATACTATTAAAAGCCTTGAGCAGTAGAAGAATCCTAATTCTACCAACAATTGGTGAATATTTATTTAGTTCCAATATTGTATTTCAGCAAAAGCCCATTCAAAGTCATGTGACCAATACTGCCGCTAACAACACACACCAGTCTCCGCACACCTATCACCAGTCACCAAGGCCGGGCCCCGACTCGGGTATAAGTAGTCATGGGGCTCAAAATAGTAACCAGCCTGGCCAGCAACCAGTTGAGTTCAATCATGCAATAAACTATGTGAACAAAATAAAGGTAAGGCAACACATTGACTGACAAGTCAGTACATTAATCATTAAGCCATTATTCTGTTAAAATTGTGTAATATCGCTTTGAACATAGAAGTCCATTCTTTAATATATAAGAAATAATCAATTTAGTATTGTTCTGTTAAAGAAAATAATTATGTGCAAAGGAACTTCTGTAGGCCATCAGTAAATAAAGTTATGTAATTGAAAAGTGATTGTTAAAATGTTTGGGTGTAGTATCATACATACAAAAGATGTTAAAAAAAATAAAAAAAGACACACACAAAAGTCAGTTTTTATTTTTTTATTGCCAGAATCGTTTCCAAGGTCAGCCAGAGATATACAAAGCATTTCTGGAGATACTGCATACATACCAGAAGGAACAAAGAACTATAAAAGAAGGAGGCCTGGTAAATATTAGATCTGTCTTATATGTTGAGACCAACTTTTTAGCAAATACTCAAATACTCACTTCTCCTGTTTAAGAGTTATCCATTAAGTAATCATTACAAATTGCCAGTCTTGTTGTTTTCATGACTTGAGATTTAACAATTAACGAAATTTCATTCATGAATTGATAAATTGGATGAACCAAGATTTCTTCCCAATAATACTTAGCTTGTATAATTGGTGAAAACACAAACCAGGAGAAATACTAAAGGACTAATAACTTGAGCTTTTGATTCTCTTTGTTCTGGAATTGTCAGTGTAAACATAATTATATGAATTTTTAAAGATGTATTACTCTAAACATGTACTTCACAATAGGGTCAAGTTCAGTTAGTTAATTTTGTAGGTGGTTCCACATTTCCCATTTCAGGCGACCGTTTGTCCTCCGGGACACAAGCCTCTCACTGAAGCAGAAGTTTATGCTCAGGTTGCCAAGCTTTTCCAGAACCAGGAAGATCTGTTAGCAGAATTTGGACAGTTTCTCCCTGATGCAAATGGTTCATCGTCATACCAGGGTTATGTTAGTGTATGTATTATACACTTATTAGATTACCTCAGTACACAACAAAAGTCTCATGACAGTAATGTGTATCTTTTAGATTTATACAAAATAAGTTTTTATTATATGAGTAGTATTTTTTTCAAACATAAAAAAAATTCCTGATATATTCTGTTTTCTTACCTAAATGTTTAAAAATTGTGGAGAAAAAAAGGTATTTCTGGTGTTAAAACATTTTTAGCTGTGTTATTGTTCAGTTGTTTCCAATATGACTGGTATAATTTTAGTCCAAAAAATGTTTTAAGACGAGATGTGACCTAAATAATGTTTTAACTAAAATGTCTACGTATAAGCTAATGTTTTAACTTAAAGTGTCTATGTATAAGCCTTTGTATAAAATGTAACATTTCTTTTTTGACCAAAATGATTGGAATAAAAACAAACTTTCTTTAACTTTCAGTCCCTGTTTGGTGCTGACTCAGTTTTGGGTGTACGGAATGACCATTCGTCTACAGTAAAGAAGCCTGGGTTTCCTAACAAGAGTCAAACTGCGAAGGCTGCAAATCAGTTACGAAGGTCAATATCCTCTAGTGCTCAACAGCCTATCATCAAGGTAAAACTGAATTTTTGTGAATTTTATATAACATACATTTAATTTAAATTTACCGTTGCGAACTGGTATCTATGACTCGAACAAAACTCTTTAAAATGTTCTGCACAAAGGTTACAGAAATTTCTTCATTCAAGGAGAAATAATCCCTCCCCTTAAGTGTAATAGTAATGGTTGTCTATGGCTGGTAGGTTAAGTATTTCAATTATAAACCACTTGTCACTCAAACAATCAAATTCCTACTGTGACTTTAGATTCTTTTATGTGAAGAAGCTGTCCAGTAAGCTTATGGAACATCAGGGGTTCAACTTAGGTGCCCATTAGTGCTGGAAAGTCGCCATTCTACTAGGTGTTTTTAGTTTGGAAGGAAAAAACAAAATTAGAAATAAAGCATTAATGGTGAAATTAACAAAATGTTACTTATTGGTTTATATTACCTTCCTATATAGTAGAGTAGAAAGGCAAAACTTTTCGTAATTTCACCATGCTGAGACCAAAACTTAACATCTTTGCCACAAGTGTTGTCAGGCCAGCCTATTAAGGTTCTATACTGTTGGCTCAACAGGTTCAGGAGACCACTGAATTTTATAATTATTAAATATACCTGTGCAAAAATGTAATGTATATCATTTAATATTACAGAAGCCAAGAATGGGAACATTAAAGGATGTTTCTCTGGCAGAGGCTGGTAAATGGGGAACACTAAATGAATATGCTTTCTTTGACAAGGTAAATTTTATATCTTTGTTTTCTTCTTTAAGGCAGGATATCTCCACACTTTTGTTTACTTTAATGTCATTATGAAAGGGTACAACACAGATCTTAGGTTTTTACTAGCTGTAAAACATGTAACCAATCAAAATATGTAGAAATATGGTGATGTATTATAAATTCAGATATATTTTTCATAAGATATACTAACTGTCACCAATGCATTTCTTTAACCATTTAATGTAGTAGAGTTTAATTAGATGGAAAACATGGTGGGCACACGAGGTCTGTCTTCACCAGAAAAGCTTGATAGTGGCCATATGACTATAAAAATGCCAATGTGACTCAAAGCTCGACCAACAAAGAAACAGGAAAACAACAAATGCATGGTTTGGGTCACACTGTTTGTACTTAGTCAGAAAAGCAACTAAGTCATGTTTTGTCACCCATTGACTTCACATTGGTTGATGACATCTAAATCATTCATATTTAACATGAGTTTTATGTAACTGTTGTCTTTTTACCAAAGAAATCAAGTAACATATTAAGAGCAAAGAAGTCAAGTAACATATTAAGAGCAATGTGTTTATATATTGTAGGTGAGGAAAGCATTACGACATCAAGAAGTTTATGAGAATTTTCTACGTTGTTTGGTATTGTTTAATCAAGAAGTGATTTCTAGATCTGAGCTTGTACAGCTGGTACAAACATTCTTAGGGTAAGTGACGTGTGCCACCTATATCAGGTATATCAATGACATATTGAAATAAATGGTAAGAAACTGGGTATTGTAACTTGTCATTTGGGGTCTTTGAACGCTATCAATACCAGTGGCTTTTTTGTTTGTGAAAATAAAACTATTTTGGAACTTTTAACCTCTGGATTTGGGAAAAGAAGCTTCTTGAATTCATCTGTTTATGTAGATAATTGTATTTTATTCATACATATCGAGTTAATTGGTACATTAACTTTTGCAACTTGCACCATGACTTTCCATATTGACAACAATAAAATCATGTTTTGTGTAACGCATTTCTCATTTTCTATATCAGGAAGTTCCCAGAGTTGTTTAAATGGTTTAAAGATTTCCTAGGATATAAGGAATCAGGTGGCTCAGTGGAGTCAGTGCCTCAAGGTGCTACTGGCAAGGAGAGAATCAGTGGAGAACTTGCTATGGAAATTGGTAAGTTCTGTAATGCTTCAGTAGTTTTAGAGTAAAGTTCAGTAAAAATTATGCTGAAGATATATTTTTTTCTGTCAAGCCTGTGTCAGAGAGTGGCAACATTGCAGGGTTTTCATTATTAACAGATCAGTTCCCTATCATCAGTTAAAATGCTGTTAAAATTGGTTGAATTTAAACCAGTAGATTAAAATATCCCCATATACCCCTGGCCAAATTGGTTGTTTTTAGTAAGCACATTTGTTGCTTCAGATTAAAATGTAAAACCTGCATTGTCTGATGTTGATTATAATTGAAAAGGATACTATGAATAGCAATATCTTTAAGAATCTTAAGAGCTTTCACATACTTACTCAAATATATTTCATAAGACTTACATGTATATTTAACAAAAAATGTAAATACATGAGGTGTCCATGGCTAAGTGGTTAAGGTCGTTGACTTCAAATCACTTGCCCCTCATCGCTGTGGGTTTGAATCCTGACAGGGACATTAGGTTCATTCATGTGAGGAAGCTATCCGACTAGCTTATGGAACCTTTTGTGCCTGAAATAATGCACAGAAGGGCACCAGAGGTCTTCCTCCACCAGTAAAGCTGGTAGTCACCATATGACCTATACAGTGTTAGTGCAACATAAAACCCAACAAAACAAAAAAATAGAATGTAAATACATGTGTGATGATTTATCTATTATAACAGACTATGCGACATGTAAGAAGTATGGAGCAAGTTACCGGGCATTACCCAAGACGTACGTTCAACCGAAATGTTCAGGTAGAACATCACTGTGTAAAGAGGTGTTAAATGACACATGGGTGTCATTCCCTTCTTGGTCAGAGGATTCAACATTTGTAACCTCACGGAAAACACAGTTTGAAGAACATATTTATAGGTGTGAAGATGAGCGGTTTGAGGTATGTAATATTGGTTATCACCATTTGAACATATTGCAGATATTATTAAAATAATAAATCATAATTAAGATGCCGTAATTTGCTTCTGTCAGTGTTAGTGAGGAGGGGGAAGTAGCTTTCATTAAGTACAGGTAAAGTTAAAGCAATCCTGTTACATCTTCATTTATGCTTAGCCTTTGCTAAGAGACACCTTTAAAGTTCCCATTTTCACTACTTTAAGTGAAAATTGAAGTGTCAAAGAATGTTAGTATTCAATAAAGAGGTACATTTAAACTGATCATTTTACACAATATTTTTATGTGCTCCTTCATCTTTCATTGAAGATTTTGATTTTAAACCTTAATGATGATAGGTCACCTTCCAAGACCCTCAATTTTGCTGAATTATTCCTCATATACTCGCAGGTCATTATTGATGTTAATATTTGATGGTTACTCTTGTTTTCTTTTTCAGCTTGATGTTGTCATAGAAACCAACTTGTCTACTATTAGAGTGTTGGAATCTGTACAGAAGAAGTTAACAAGGATGGCACCAGAAGATGCAGCTAAATTTAAGTTAGATAACTGTCTCGGGGGAACATCAGAGGTTCTACATAGAAAAGCTATTCAAAGGTTTGTCTTCAAATATGTACTGCATGTCTTTGTAGAATTTGAAGAAAAATCTCATGAAAACTTCAAAATTTATGAGATATTTTTTCATGATTTCAAAATTAGATTGGTGAATAACATGCAGGTGTGCAGATAACTAAAAAATGAGTACTCTCTTTGATCATGCAAAGCTGAAAATAACTTTTGTTATACAGTTTTCATTCTGCTAAATGCCTGCTTAAAATATATCCTTTGCAATTCTAATATTGGCCTTTAATGGAAAAGAAGCAAGTTGTTTTTAAAGTATGGCCAAAGAGGCAACTTATTGATCCATTAAATATAATATAGTTTTTGACTATTTTTAATGTTTACAGAATATATGGTGATAAAGCCCCAGATATTGTTGATGGCTTAAAGAAGAACCCAGTTGTGGCTGTACCATTAGTTCTAAGGAGGTATGTGAGATACTTATCATGCTTATTATTTATTGAATGGAACAGTTTGAGCTCTGCAATGGTTTGAGTTAGAGCAATGGTTGTAGTTAAATACATGCATCTTGTTTTTGTATTGAGTTAAATATTTTAGTTTTTCTATAGTTCTGTTTACTAATTCAGTATATAGATTTAAGTGTATAAACAAACATGATTATGTTCTGTTTCAAAAACTGTTTATGCTCATGGGATTGTTTGAAGTCATATGTTCAGGAACCCTGTAAAGAAGCAAAAAAGCAGTTTGGAATTACAGGAGGAAATTAATAGAATACGCATGAATATGGTTGTAAACCCAAACTTCATTTAATCATTTTTAGTTTTGTGTGTCAGAATTTCCACTTTGGTTGTTACCCAGTGTTTTATCTACAATTTTTGCAAAATGCTTAATTTGATTTAATTTTATATTGCATCATGTTAAATTTCTCAGTCTGGAGTTGATACCCTTTGTTTCATTTCTCCATATTTGACTGATTTCATTTTTGGGCATTAGATACTTCTGCTTATTTCCCATGAGTTGTTGCCCTTTGTTTAATAATTTAAATATGTTTTATTTGATCAGGTTAAAAGCTAAAGAAGAGGAATGGCGGGAAGCTCAGAGAAATTTCAACAGAATTTGGCGAGAACAAAATGAAAAATATTATCTCAAGTCACTGGATCATCAGGGAATAAACTTTAAACAGAATGATATTAAAGCTATACGATCTAAGGCCTTATTGAATGAGATAGAAACCATCTATGATGAGGTAAACATATATTTAATATTTTAATCCTTACAATTGAACTTAACTAATATGCTTGATTATGTAGTTGACAAAACTTGTAAGTACTTGGAGACTTGCAAGAAACAACATGTTCCACGCAGGGTAGCTAAAGATCTGTCGTGTTTGGAATATGGATTTACTTACAGATCCTAATTTAACTATACCTTTTTGAATATTAAACATTGTGGCATGTACATTGTAATTGCATTAAGAAAAGAAACCATTTGAAGTTCATTTAAGAATGGTTTAATCCAAGTTTTATTTTCAGTTTGTCTAGGAATATTAATGCTCAGTAAGATATTTTAAATTGGACAATTTCTTGAATTTGACATAAGAGCCGTGTCACGACAAAACCAACATAATGGGTTTGCGACCAGCATGGATCCATACCAGCCTGCGCATCCGCGCAGTCTGATCAGGATCCATGCTGTTCGCTATCAGTTTCTCTACTTGTTATAGGGTTTGTAAGCGAACAGCATGGATCCTAATCAGACTGCGCGGATGCGCAGGCTGATCTAGATCCATGCTGGTCGCAAACCCATTATGTTGTTTTTGTCATGACACAGCTCATATTTGTTAAACCCTGTAGTGTAGGGTACCTAAAATGCAAACATATCAGTGGTTTTTCTCACTTGATTGGTAAAAAAACCTTAGATTCTTGATTTTAGGAAAAAATATCATTAAAACTGCTAATTTGGGAAGCAAAACAGATGGTGTAAGTTCAGATTTTTTGGGAAAACTGAATGATTTTAAAGAAAATTTCAGTTTGGAAGAGGCCATTTATAGGCATCTGTGATACAAGATGAAAAATCTTTGTAAATATATAGTATGCTATAATAATTCAGTGATATATTTCATTGCAGCGTCAAGAGCAGCTACAGGAAGGTGGTCCTGACTTTGGTTCCCCACATCTCAGTTTTGTGTTCAAAGATAAATCTATCATTGAAGATGCTGCTGGATTGATCATACATCACATGAAAAGACAAACAAGTATATACAAAATAAATTCATTACTAAACTAATAATCACCTTATTATCTTGACCGGGTGGGGGTTGGGTTTTGGGGAGATGTACAGACAGTTAACAGTGAATAGTACATCTTAAGCCATTTTGTTGCATGAGGATTTCAGATATTTGAGTCACATATGTAGCTGTAAGCTTAATGAGTTTTAGATCTTTGGTTATAATATAAATGTAGTTATACTGTTCCTCCATATCATTATGGCAGTAGTATTGGTTAGTCAAAGAAGGAAAGAAAAAAAAAGTTTATGTTGTAAATTTGACCTGAACAAGACCCAAAACTAGTTAAACTGGAAACAGTTCTAAATTGTAACTATTGGGTAAATTTGTTTTTGAGAAAAATTGAATTCCTAGTTATTCTTTATTAAAAAGTGTCCATTTAATTAATAGGTCCAATTAAAGTAGGGGGATCATGGTGTTAGAAAAACACTGCTTGTATCAGATATTAAATGTTTTACATTGCTGTTTTCTAATTTTGTTTCAAACTTATTACAGGTATACATAAAGATGACAAACAGAGAATTAAAGTATTATTGAAACATTTTATCCCTGATTTATTCTTCACTGCACGTCAGGATCTCAGTGATGATGAAATGGATAAAGATGATGGTAAGTTAGCTCCCTTACAATTTAACCTTGTTACTTTATACATATCTATTTTAGTCTGATTGTGTTTAAGAAGCTGTAAGCTTATTGAATCTCTTTTGAATCTGTTCCTGGAGCCAACCAGTACTAAGCAATAAGTGTGAAGTTTCTGGCTCACAGAAACAACAGCTTGCCCCTAGTTGTTGAAGTGATCTCCAGTGATTGGAGAAAAAGAAAGTTATTTTGTCTATTGGAACATGTTCTTTATTCTAGATTAACTTTTTCTACAGTATTTTAGGAACATGATTGATGAATGAAATCTTAGCAGTTATATATATGTAACAATTTTGTTTTCAAAATGATTAACTGTATATAATTAACAAATTGCATTAAAATTTGTCAATTGATTCACTTATTTTAAAATACATTTTCCTTAGGTAATACATTTCTTCTGTAGAATGGGTTATAAAGAATTGAGAAATACCCATGTTTGTCTTTATAGTGTGCATAATGCAAATAAAATCTTGAACTATTAGCTGTGCTGTATGGTATATGTGCTGTATGTGTATTATTATGCCCCCTTCAAAGAAGTGGGGGTATATTTGCTTTGCATTGTCAGTCGATCGCTCCGTAGACCAAATGGTTTCCTATCAATAACTAAAGAATGGTTAGGCCTAGGAACTTCAAACTTGGTATGGGGATTGTTCATGACCAATAGATGACCCCTATTGATTTTGGGGTCAATGGATCACATGTCAAGGTCATATTGATTTGTAGGTAAAAATAATTTCCAATCAATAAATAAAGAATGCTTAGGCATACAAACTTCAAACTTGGTATGGGGATTGGTCTTGGCAAGTAGATGACCCCTATTGAAAACATATCTTGTTTCTTTATTGTAGATGAGATGGAATCTGATGATGGTGAAGGTGTTACAGATAAAGAAAAAGATAATACAGAAAAATCTGATAATGAAAAGTCCGACACCAGTAAATCATCAAATACAATAAATGTGAAACAAGAGAAAATTGACTCTGAAAAAACTGATACACAAAGTGTAGAAGTGAAAGAAGAACAGATGGATGTTGATGAAATTGTGAAGAAAGAAGTGAAAGAAGAGAAAGAAATAAAGGAAGAACAAGATGATGAAGTCGACTTGACAGATGTAAGTAAAAGAACATATAATATACGTATTGTCCCCAGCATGCCATTGTTGAAACTGATTTTAAATTCCGCCTTTTTATGGCCCTGGATGTACTAGTTGAACCATTTAACATAAAGTGGCAGGTTGGATTACTTAGGTTTTACATGTACCAGTGGTTTCATGATTTACACACTTACCACGACTTATTGTTTATTTATTGACCAATGTCTTTTAAATTTGGAAGGTAGAATAGTTTTAGTTGTCGTTAAACTTTGTTTTGAGTTTGGAATGACTGGATTCAAGGTCTTTATATTTCATTAGCCATATTGCAGGGCCTGCATATTGTCATAAAGATTCTCACATTTCTATGATATGTTACAGGATGATTTGTATTCTCTGTTCTTTGTGAACAACAACTGGTACCTGTTCTTTCGACTACATCAGTTATTATGTGAGCGTCTACACACAATTTACTGTCATTCCCAAAAAGTTGCTGAAGAAGAAGCTCTATGTAGGAAGGACAGGAAAGAATCTACAGCTGTGGCATTGAGATTGAAGGCTCCTAGTAAGTTCAATGTTTATTAATTAATTTATAATATTTGAAAAAAGTGTTTAGTCCTATCAGCAGGATTTTTTTCCCCGGTTGTATGTATTTATCTTTAAAGCATACAGCCAAATTTAATGCAAGTGATTTCTTGACAAAAGTAAATTTGAAATATTGTACAGACAGGATAATACTATTTCTATATATTGTTAATTAGGAAATATTAATTGATCCTTTATTGTGAAAAAGTTAAATATAACACCTGACCTTTATTGAATATACATAAGTAAGTTAATGTGCTTCAGTAAGCAGCAAGTGAAGTTGATGTATCATTGTCCTATTGACATATTAGCTGTTGTTGAGGGGCATAAGGCCCCATATGTCTATTGTAGTGTAGAGAAAAAGATAAGTTATTTAGTATATAGATTAATATAATGTTTTATTTCTAGGTGAGATAGAACCAGATGAGTATTTCCCATATTTCCTTGATATGATAAAGAATGTATTAGACGGGAACCTGGAGAGCTCGTCATACGAGGATCAGCTTAGAGAAATGTACGGCATTCATGCTTATATCGCATTTACCATGGACAAATTAGTACAGAATATTGTAAGACAGGTAGGAGCTCTTACTATAAACCTACTTATCTACTCATGGTAGTTTGTAATTTTGAAAAAAAAGTAACGGTGGGTTTTCTCACATAATTTGGAAGAGTCCTTGGCCTCTTGAATTTGGAGAAAAATTAGCACTAAAATTGCCAGTTTGGGAAATTAATGATTTTGCTCTCCTGAAATGGTTTCTAAAACATTGGATTTTTTTTAGTATACTTTCTTCTAGTATGACTTGATAATGTTTGCTGGTGGTTTCCAGATACATTACTGTTCTCAGTGTTGAAATTTATTAACTATGTCTCAGAGTTTTTCATGCCCTTCAGCATGCCTTACTAAGACATTGTGATATCAGCATATTTATACATATCATATACATTTATCATATTTAAATATCTTGTATACATAATATATTAAATGTTGATTATTATGTACACACAGTTGCGAGCATATTGCTATCCGAACGAACAACCTGTGTCAAGCAGGTAACAGATATGTTTTATGAAGAGAAAAGAAAAACAATAAAAAGGCAACAAAGGGGGCGGCTATCGGCTACCTTCCAGCCCAGAAGACAGTTGATGGAAAACACATACCAGAAACGTACTGAACAGCTGTTGACAGAGGAAAACTGCTTTAAAGTAATTGTGGTACGTACAGACCTTACCATAAAATGTTGAAGAATCCATGTGATGTTTATGTTTTTTAACATTTTATTCTTTTAACGTCCAATATTCATGTGTGTTAAATTTTGAGAAACAACCATAAGATTATGGAAACAATTTTAATTTTAATGTTAGTTATTGATATTCTTTTAAAACTATTTCATTAAGTTATAGCTTAAAGGGAGACACAGGCATAATTTTCATTTCTTAGTTTTGAATTTTTCATTCATTATTCTGTAAATGCCCTCAAAATGAATATATTCCTTTTACTGTCTACAGTAAAAGGACTCCAAGAATAAAATGGTGGTTTCCTAACTTGACCCGCGTGGGTCAGGTTAAAGCGCTAGCATTTCACAATAGTTGTCAAAGTGAACTCTGTTGACGTTAAAGAACATGTCAAATGAATGACTTAGACTTGTTTCAATCATACAATATCCACAATATCTGTTATTGTAACTTCAAGGGTTTGTTCAAGTCACTTGACTTGTTTAAAAACTATTTGGTGATTCTACTGGCGTCTAAATTTTGTACAACATATATTATATAGATATATTTATGCTTCAAACCCAAAATATATAGAATTTAAACAAAAATTTACACTGAAACTTCATGAAAAGTCTTTTTAGATTGATTTGAGTACATAAGATCATTTTAATATTTTTGTCATTATTTTGCCTGAATATCCCTTTAATACCCTTTAATGTTCAATAATGTGTAGTTCAATGATATGTAATTACAGTTTAAGAAGGAGTGTAAGTTGACAGTGGAATTATTGGACACTGATCATGAGAATATAGAAGATCCGGTGGAGGTAGAACGTTGGTCAGAGTATGTGGAGAAGTATGTCAACACCGGAGAAACTGTTGAAGAGGAATTAAAAGATGTGTTGTCAAGAAAACCTGTGTTCTTACCAAGGTCCGAACCAAGTTGTAATAGTTTTACTGTAGAATCAGAAAAGTTTTGCAGAATTTTCCTTTGGAAAATAAAAAGCAAAATATTTTATATCTTTGAAAGAACAGAAACAGATAAATTTGGCTAAGATTGTCTTAAGAGCAAATTAGCTCAAAATATTAATTTACTAAATTTTAATCAAGCCAAATAATTTTATTTCACAGTATTTTAAATTGTTAAAGGAAGACTGATGCTGTCATCAGGATTAATTTACATTTATAATTAACATGTTTTACATTGCTTAACCACTCGGCTATAGAGGCTTCCTATAACAATGCAAGTTGTTAGTGCTATATTAAAATATAAATGATTCTATATATAGGAATGTGCGTCAGTGGAGACAGAGGAATAAGGAACAAACTGCACAAAGTACCGAATACACTTGGACTAGTCTTAAAGAACTGGACAGAAGCCCAAAGATAAAAAAAAGTGGCGAACAAACTCGCCAGGGAAAAAATCTGATGAAGAGAAAAAACACTGAAAATGATGATAAAGAAGATGGCGAGAAATGACACAGATTCTAGTGAAAATACAAAAAAATAATAATGCTAGAGATGGTGTTAAGGAGAAAAAGGGTGTTAAGCAGTCAGATGACGTTTAGACAGATACTGACTGTAAATTTAACGTCAAACTCATTCAAAACTGGTGCTATGTTGTGAACGTGAATTATCTTTATAAAAGAAATGGCATTTACACACGTGCAAGAGAGGTAAGTCTTATCTTCCTTTTAGATTGGAGACATCTTTATTTTTGAAATATTAACATTTTAGCTGTTATATAGTTGGTTTGCAATGATAATAGATTTCACTATGGCATCAGTACTGCACCAGACATTGACAGTATTGAGACCAGTCAGAATTGACTGGATACTATGCTGTTAAATTACTTCCTTCGAGATTGGAAACCTTAAGCTCCTTATTAGAAGCAGGACACATTCAATTAGCAAACTATATGGATAAAAAGATAAAATATCTTTTGCCCATTGTTGAATTGTAGTTTAATGATTTTGTTATTTGTAAAGTTCTATAAACTTGTCATGTTAGCAGAAATCAAAAAATGTGTTAAAATTTAAAAAAGTAGAAAAAGAAAAAACAAATTTTTAGTCATGTACTTGCGTTGGCAAAATTGTGTGTTGAAGTTATCAGAGTTAAATTTTAAGCTCAACGTGCAGTTTTCAGTGTCTGTCATTTAAAACATAGATTTTGAAATATTTCTGTGATATTCTTACATGGAAATTGTTCACAATAATGTACTTTACAGGTTACTGAACGGAATGATATCATGTTCTTGATATCGATGATTACCACAGAAATCTGCAAAATTTACATATAAAATTATACTTGTAGTGTTAGAAATTTACAAAAGCATTTGAACAAACAAAATCTGTCCAATAATATTTCAGAGATTTTTCATAATATTATGATAAAATGTTTGCATATACTGATGTATTTGACATTGTTATTAATATATTAATGTTGGACAAGATTTTACTTTTTTAGAACTAATTATTTCTTGTTTAGTGATATGTAAATATTGTTTATTTTTTGTTTCAGTCTCATCAGAAAGTTTCCTTGAAACTTCACAACAAATTCAGTTCATGGGTGGAGAAATGGAGGAAAGGTAAGCACATGTATCATACTTTATGTACCCACTGATTACATTGTTACCATACATCTCTCTTTGTGAATAGTTTAGTTTTTGGTCATGTTAATACTGTTAGGATAATTTCTGACATTTGAGGAATACCCAAACTCCTGCTGAATAATTTCTGTCTAAAACTTGCACTGAGTAGAACATAGACATTTTATTTTTCAAACTACCTGGATAGCTTCCTTTTGTAAGGCTTGATTTGACCCAACAGTGGTATTTTGTATGAAATTCAAATATCAGGAAACCTGTTTTTGCTAGAGGCAATTAGATGTTTGAAGTATTTTACCTTTTGTGCAGTGAAAAGTAAAATCCCTAAATGAACCCCCTGTTAAGTGTCTGAATGATTAAATAATTCATATCTCAAAAATTTATGTATAAATTAACTGTATATTACAAAATCAGTTTACAAACATTTTCAGGAAACGTAACAAAGGAGATGGAGACAAAGTGTAACAAGTGGTTGATGGGGGAGACCGATGACAATAGGCCCTGTGAAACCTCAAAAAAAGAAATTGACAACCCGGATAAATCTCCATACTATAAATATTACAAATATAAGGTCCAGTTCTATAAGGAAAGTCCAGACCAAGACCAGGACTGAATCACGTTAAAACTGGTTGTCTAAGTTTAAGTAAACACAGAAGAATAAAAATATGGATTTTGATAATAAATTTGGTTATAGGTGGAAACGTGTGTGAATAAAATGGTTTTGTGATAATCCATGAGAGCTTCACATTGAATTGGGATGGCAATGCAATATTTTAAAGTTAAGAGGGAAGGACAGTTGTGAGAAAGAAGACATAATGGGTTCACATAAGAGCAGAATTTTAGTTGCGCTGCTTGTATTTAAGTCTCCCTGATCAAAGAAGGAGCAAACTACAATGTCCAAATTTAATAAATGACCAAAACGGATATGTTTTGTGAAAGTGACATTGGTAAAAAATTAGGCAAACCCAAGTTGTCGATGATCAGGACCTGATTTTAGAATAAAGTATTCTATTAGATTAGTCTGTGAGATGTAGATGTAGTTTTGAGTTGTGGCTGTACTAATTTTTGAAAAGGTGTGCCTGTATATTGAATATTATTTAAAATTTTGTTGTTGAATATTTGAATATTGATAATGTGTTCCATATTTCTGACATTGGACAGTGTAGTGTATTTGTTTTAAGTGAATCTGTAAATACAATTTTGACTCATCTGTCATGCATTTTATTAGTGGGGTTTATTTTGGGGGGGGGGTAGTAATTTTGTTGGTTTAAATGGCATTAAGATTTTTTAAGACCTTAAAACTTTTTCGCAACAGAGTCCCCTTTGAAAATTGTAGTTTCTTCAGTATTTCTTCAGACATGATAAATAAAAAAGAAGCCTGAAATATTATTAGATAATGAGAGGAGGACGGCATTGATGGAATAGAAACAAGTATGTTGCTATGGAAACCATTTTTACTACCATTTACTTAAAACATTTTACTGTAAATAAGGTGTTAATACCATGTACAAATATCATGTAAAAATTAGGCTCTAATATTTATTTTTCATTCATCCTGTAATATCATTCATTTTATTCACAACTTTGGAACAACGGATATTTTTGATTGTTTTTTTTTTTCTTTTTGAAGGTATTGTACATATCAGAATTTTTTTTTGTAATTGATAAAGATAACAATTGTCTTCAGGTAAAATGTATTTTAATGTTTTAATAAATCATGCTTTACTGTAAGATAGTATAATTTTTATATGGCTTTCTATATTGCTGTGAAAAATATGTGGCACATGTGTACAGGATTTAATATTGAAATAATAAATGCTGCAGTTAAACACAGAATAGTTTAAATTTGACCTTATTATTGTAGTACAGTTGATCATAAGGCCAACTTTACTAATCTCTTAATATTCTCCTCAAAGAATTTTATTGTATGTGCATTGGTAGCTTGAGCAATAAGTTTAAGACCACATTGAAATAACAATGGTGAAATTGGGAAATATTGGGCCACAAATTGATGACATTGGACATTTTTAGGATAATTGAAACTGCAAGGTGGAATTGGGAAGCAATATGTTACAAAATGTTTTTTGTTTTAAGTTGTACCGGCAGTAAAGTGTTTTAAGCTTTCACTTTCTTTTCCTATTACTGTACTCCCAGGAATGGTCACCTTGTCTTACTCCAAAGCATCATGGCCATAATGTCAAAATAAATGGTTGTTACCTTTTGCTTTCATAGGGAAAACATGCTGTGGTTTATTTTGGTTAAGATGCATTTATACTTTTTTTATCAGAAATGATACAACAATAAAAAAAATCCCAACATTTGCTTTAAATTCAAGTCAGCAAAATGGCAATCAGATGATGATTTTCACATCATGTATGGGAACAAAACACATCTAGTATTAAGTAACATCAGCAATGCCTCCGAGGATTTGAATTTTTTAGGGGGATGGAGAGAGGCTTGGGTTTTTATGTGTGTCAATAAATTGATCTCGCTTCAGATAAAATTACTGAAACATGTAAACAAGTCTTGGAAGCCAGGACAAAACCTATCATTTGTAGACAGAGGTAACTTGTACAGCATTACATTAAATTTTAAAACAAAATGTTAATGGATTTCTTGTTCATCAATTTTTAACGGTTTACTGATAAGATTAATGTTTTCATTGTAAACAAAAGCTGTTGTTTTTCTAACAGGAACATAATTATTGTAATGGACATCACCATTGTTATGTTGTCATCATCATTATATGAGCCGCGTCACGACAAAACCAACATAACGGGTTTGCGACCAGCATGGATCCAGACCAGCCTGCGCATCTGCGCACTCTGATCAGGATCCATGCTGTTCCCTTACAAACCCTATAACAAGTAGAGAAACTGATAGCGAACAGCATGGATCCTGATCAGACTGCGCAGGCTGGTCTGGATCCATGCTGGTTGCAAACCCATTATGTTGGTTTTGTTGTGACGCGGCTCATATTAGTATCACATCACTGTAATGAAATGACATCATCATTGTCCCATTTTCACTGTCAGATATTGTTTCACAAATTGTTAAGTTTCTGTATAAATTTCATTTTGGATGCAAATTCTCTGTGTATATATTAATAGCCTTAAGTCGAATAGAGAATTTCTATTCAAGATAGAAAACTTTCATCTATATGTACTTTTTGTCATAGAATAAACTTTTGATTATTATTGGAATAGATAAATAATGTGTTCATTTATTTATTTGTAAATTGTATGGCCTTATATGATAGGATTTAAAGCTTTCACTTGCAAAAGGCACTAAGTGTGCAGGTATCAAAATAATACGGAGACCTGATACTTTTTCTAGAGAGAGTTTTAACAAAAAGTGTCTGTTACTTAATATACATGAGAAATATATGAAATAGAATAAGACATACACAAGATATTGAACAGATGTCTTCAATAGATTAACTTCAGCAGTTGTTTCGAAACAACTTCTGCATTTATTCAAAATCTTTTAATTACAAGTAATCCAATATAGTTTTATAGTCATAAATGTGAAATTGATTTTATATTGTCCATTATGTGTTCCCACTACATATGAACCTAAACAGACTATCCCAGTGTTCATCTATTATAAAGTTTCATATAGTCTAACCATTCATTCATTGGACTGAACTATTGTTACACAAGTAATATAATTTAAATTGGATGGCTGAATAAGTTGCCTGTTGTCAGATTTGGTGAAGTAGGACGAATTATTTCAGGAGAGAAAGTTATAAAACCTAGCATGTGGTAAGTAAGTTCCAGAAATAATGCACATATAGGCACCTAAGTTTTGATGAGACACAATTGTAATAGCAGACACCCTGTGAATATATTTAACCTGATTTAGATTTAGGTAGATTACAGGAAACTGAAGTTTAAAAGAAATAATATTTCAATAAAAAATCACCCCTGTTTGACGAAAACACATACAGAACGGTGATTTGTTTTTCTTGAATCATTTAATTTTAAACCAGTTTCCTGTGGGCAGATATAGAAGGGGCATATTTTAATTAGTGGCAACAACCCAATTTTATCATAATTTGCACGTGAAAGTCCATGTATAATATATCATTTGAAAGATAATTGATTTTTCTTACCAATAGTCTATTTTCGCACGATTTCCACGTGCAATAAATATTAGCAGGTCATTTAAATACATGTTTTGTATTTTGTTGGTAAATATGGCAGGTTGGAAAATTCGTGCGTTTTTGGGGTAAATGCGCGTCAGAAATAAAAACTGATCTAGATTTAGTTTATGGAGAAATGCCCTTCCATATCGTACAGTTGCCAGATGGGTGGCAATGTTAAAGGATGGTAAAACTAATGTTAAGGATGATCCCCTACCTGGTTGGTCAATTTCCGCTACATCTGAAGAAGACATCAGTACTGTCACAGCCATAGTTGATGAAGATGTAAGATATACTGCGAATGAGAAAAGTTACATAACGAGCCTAGCGCGTTATGTGTGTTTTCCATTTTAAAGAAAAGTTAAGTGTACTCCCGTTGGATCCTGCACAGCGAAGGGAGCGGGTTGAAATAGCGTCGGCCTTAATGACTAGGTTCAAAGATCGAGACCCTTAACCCTGGAAAAGTTGCCCGGTGTCGCTGTGCCTGCGAGGGATAGTGTCACTAGAATATTTTACCGTGACCATGTTCTCACTGCTGTAGTTAATCACTACATTACAAAGAACCCACCGACCAGACTTGTTTCAAGCTTTTTTAGAGGAGCAGAGAATTGAGGTTTTGCTGTGCATGCCGCCGATTGTCCTGATATACATGTTACTTCCCTTTTCACCAATATTTTTTGCACCTGACTGCATCTTGTGATTTTTAGTTATATCCATATATCAAATCTTGCCTTCGTTGTCGCCGGTTCGAAATCCGTAGTGTCATCGGAAGCGCTCTCCCCATGGTGAATATTTTGAAGGATTCCATGCACTTATCATCTTTCACAGGTATGATCTACGAGTATTTATAATTGCCACTTATTAAAATATGCCCCTCATATATGATGTATTAGTTTGGTTTAATTCCCCAAAATTACCTTGTTTTCTAGAGAACACCAATTCCATCTGTTGTCAAAACAACAACAAAAAAGGGACGGAACGATTTACGAACCCACCGTGGTAATCTTAAAATAACTTGTTTGTTCTAAAAATAGTTTATGTTCCAGTTTTTGACTTCATAATTTTATTATGATGCAATTTTAATTTGATTAATCATGTAGTATTTAATATTAATTTTGTAAAATGACATCTAAGAGAACCAATGAGGTTATATATATGACAAATTTTGATTTAATGCATGATTTACATATGAAATATGCTATATTTTACATTTTATGATAAGAAACTGCCTTATTCAAATTTTCAACCTTCCCAATTTCTGTTTAATAGAGAAATAGGTATATAGCATTGGATGTATCTGGTTTGATCTTAAATATGTATGATAGTAAGGGTAAGTGCATGTTTAAGCAACCCAGGTATAATATGTCTGTACATATCCCTTACATCCCTAGGGGCGACTGTGGTTTATCCGCAATATCCACTGCCGTACCAACGAATATTTCTCTTGTCATGACGATAATATTTGTTTTGTAACTTTGGTTAACTTAATCGCACTTGACATGTAGGACAACCGGCAACAAGA